ATACCTTGCAACAAAGAGCATAAGTGCGAAGCGTATTCGCCTGGGTGAAGTTATACGGTCCGCCGACGCCAATAAGGTTCATTAAGGTGGAGTAGAGCCGGCGCTGCAGGGGCGACATCTTGACCAGCAGGACAACTTCTGTCTTGGGCGGAAGACTGGCCTTCAGGACGGCGTGCGATCGGCGCTGAACGAAGCCCGAAAGCAGGTCGTGCAGAACGTGAGCGCGACCCTGCATCACCTTCCTGTCCTCTGCAGTACTGTCCACGCACTGACCGTTTTCAATTGGGCGCTGGAACATGTTGGTGAACTCCTGCTTAGTGCCAAGGTAGTTGGGTCGAACAAAGTCTACCATGCACCAATACTCCATTAGATTGTTTTGCAGGGGGTAGCCAGTAAGGACGACGCGGCGACTGCAATCAGATAAGCAGGTAGGATGGAGAGCAAAAAAGGGAGGGCACAGTGACAAAATAACTGTCATGTATCACCAAAAGAATACGCACAAAGGAGAAATAGGCAGACTTACCGAGTTTGAATGGCTTTCAAAGCCTTCGAAATGCACGCCTCGCTGTTTTTGATACGATGACCTTCATCGCAAATCACAATTTGTGGACCGGGATCAACAAGGGCTGAGCGCATGTCTGCAGAGATTTGTAAGAAAAGACCAAAGAGTTAAGTTGAATTCGAAATCTGCATCCGGCTTAGGCAAAGGAACACAGGGTAGGAGTGAGAGGACACTGCAGTCTTCGAGACGGGTAGGAGAGAAATATGGGGAGACAGAGTCAAATTTGTAACGACCAAATGTTGGTATAAAGGAATTTATATGACGGCTAGAAATTGGAGAAAGGTAGCTGAGAATTGAGTAGAAAATTTGCCGACAATGATTACGCAAATACTTCAAAAGGAGGATTGCTTTGTCAAATAGCACACGAACACCGTCTCTGAGGTGCTAGACCTAATACCTTCTACGCAGTGCCGCCCAATCAGACTGGACGATGCAAGCTAGTCTCATGATCGACGCAGGCGGTCGTAGAGGCACAAAGCGGAGTTCTGTGTACCTTCGACAAGAACTGAAGAAGCACTCCGGTGCCTGAGGCATCTTTCTCCCGCATACAATCAGATGCACTACTAGGGTGCATGCATGCATCGCGGTCGATTCGTGAGCCTCCTTTCCCTCTTTCTCTACCCTAAATCCGCAATTTTAGCCTCCTCGTCGTCCTTCGCCTCCTTGAAAATGCGGCTACAGTGGTAGCAGCCAATTTCCCAAGATGCCCTACTTTCTTTTTGATTTCCAAACCCTCATACGCTAATTTGATTGTCACGCCATATTTGCTTCTTCATCTGCCATCTTAATGTAAAAGAACCCAACAAGGCAGTTTACGGAGTGCTGGTAAGCGCTTAAAAAGTCTATTTCAGGCTACGTGCTGCATCAAAGAGGGCACTTCGGCTTACAAAATGCCATTATTTCCCTCTTCGAAAATGCGCCAAGTCATTGGGCATGAAATCAGCAAAAGGAGTAAGTATCATGGGAAAAAAGGGGGTCTTCGACGATTGCATAAACAGCAGAATTTAATGGATCCATAAATTTCGAGAGTACTCATTAGGTGCTACCTCTCGCTGTCTATCGTATGAGAAAACGTAAAACTGAATTCGTGCTGAATGCATACATTGGATGCAGAAATAGCGTGTCTCAGAGAAACAAAAAGCGGGGATGTCCAGCACAGTTTATCTACAAGTATATCATACCCTTAGGGCCTAAAATGGCAGAATGCCCTTTAAGGGCGACAACATTTTAAATACTATCAAAAGACGCCTACTTAAAACCATTGAAAGGACATACTAAGCTGCTGAACTCATATTCTGCAATCCAAAAAACCCTTACCAATGCCATGTTGCAAGGGATGCCTTGCCATTGCACGCCA